TCACCCCCTTAAAATAATTTCGTTCTCGAAATTATTTTATCTAGCGAGGAGTCCTAGGTACATGGTCCAAACCTTTGAAAACTATCTCCTTTTCGAAGCATCGTATTATCGCATAAATGCTTCACAACCAATCCACTCTTAAGATAGCATCAAGATCCTTTATGTGAAGGGTACCAATCAGCTCTACATTCCTTTCCATCCACTTCTACCTTGACATTCCTAGCTATTTGATTTGGTATTAAGTGTACTGCCTAATAGGATACTAATTTCTAGAACACTAACGACTTCTTTGTAAACAGTACGAGATTTAAAAAAATAAATAAATAAAAAGTGGAAACAAAGGAATGAATAATTCCTAAGTATCTAAAGACGTAAACATGTAGTTCAATTATTGATATAATACCTGCCATCATGTCCTAATTCTCAGTTGCCTTCTGTTGGGTTAAGGCAAAGACTCTGGCTGCTCCTTTTTTACTTTGTTGTTGTTTCTATTTGGTGGGGGTTCATGGCAATTGGTAGCAATATGACCTTGTTTTCCACATCGATAACACACATTCTTTCCATACAAACACTCGCCTCTATGAGCCTTATTGCACTTAGGACATGGAGTAAGAACATTATTCGGCTTGCTTGACCCTGACCACCTTTCAAAGCTAGCCCTCTTGTTTTGTCTATTTCCTTTACCTTCGTTCAGCCCATTCCATTTCCTCTTTCTTGAAAATTCAGTACTTTCCCGAACTGTCTGATCAATTTCCAGTCGATTTGAAATTGCTTGAGCTCATTGTAGAACCTAACTGTACGTGGTGAATTCATGAGATGCCATGATTCCTCCAATTTCTGGGCCAAGTCCGAGTTCAAACCTCATAGCTTTCTTTTGCTCTTTATCCACTAGATGCATTTCCTCTCATAATCGACCAATGTCATAATTCCTTGCTTAAGTTGTAGAAACTCTCTCCTTATCTCTCAAGGCTTGTGGGAAATACTTTCTCATTACCTCCTCTTTGAAACGTGCCCAAGTGAGGTTACGTTGTTGTGCCTCAGTCCTAGTGCGTGAAACAGACTCCCACCAATGGCCCGCTCCATCAACTAGCATCAACTCCACACATAAAACCTTTTGGGCATCCGTGCAAGAGAGATGCTTAAAGATCCGTTCCAAGCCCTGTATCCATTCCTCAGCTGCCAAAGGGTCAGCCATCCTGGTAAAGGTAGGGGACTTGTAATGACGAAACTATTCTACGACTAAAATTATAAATTATTTATTAATTTATGTCCAAATGGAGGCTTAGTGACGAGTTTAAAAATACAAAATATAAACTACAGTGAAAAAGCATAACCTTCTTGATTACTGAAATTGGTGTATGTGATAACAAAATTGCCCTAAATTGTTATCCTCTCTGTTAGAATCAGAATAGGATTTTCTGTAAAGATAAAAATTTCATACACTGATCTCTTTTTGTTTAAATGTCCCATTTCCAGATTAACCAACAATCTCTACAACATTTGTTGAAGTCCCTGATATTTTAATATCTAGGTAGAATATTAGATAATTAATCAGAATTAATGAATTATGTATTTCATGTTTATTTCAATTGTTCATCAAAAGGCACTAAATAGTTTGTGAACTATATAATTACTAGTTCTCTTGCAGAAAAAATTAAGAT